GTGATCTTCGAGTGGTCATCTGTGCATTCACACCACCCGCCCTCCTTCCCCTCTGCTCTCGGCCCTTCATCTTGTTTCTTTGAAGGCTGTTGGGCGGCGGTCAGAAGGAACTGGCGGGATCTGCGTGCCCCTCCTTGGTCATGCGCAGTGGAGCCGGCGCGTGACCTGGGAGAGGCGCGAAAATCCCTTTTGCTAGCTACCGGTACCGAGAAGGTCAGCGCAGGCGCAGAGTATCCCAAGGGTGTGAATGCACAGATGACCACTCGAAGATCACCAGTTACAGGTAAGCAACCTGTCTTTTTGCTCACAAGACTCCACAGCTTAGAGGGAACATTGGTTGGGAGCACTGTTAAACCCACCACAGTGTGCTGTTCTTGCTTGGAAAGCAGATGAGAGAGCAAAACTAAGGATCCTTCTTTAGATCCATACGTGTATGGCAACTCCGGGATTTTTTCTCTGGACACTCGTAGGGTAGAGTTTTGTCCTGCCCCAGGATGCCTTTCTTCTCTCCGGGGATGATAGCAGGGTGCCTCTCCGAATTGTAGAGCACAGTGCCACCTTCTGGGGGGAAGCGCTTTGGGGGACAGGTGGCTTCCGTGTGGTCTCATGAAAACAAGGCCTCGTGCCAAGGGAACTCGCATACCGGAGACGAGGCTTCTGGCTGGCCTTTCCACCCACAGTCTGTGAGTGCACCAACCCCGACCCCCTGCATATGGGGGAAGAGAAGCACAAACGGTAACCCTGACCCAGTCCAGGAAAAACTTTACCCCTTGATTCTGTCGGTCATGCGGCCTGGGCTCCATCCTTGCCCTGCTCTTCGTTCAGTGTTCCCTCTAAGCTGAGTTAGCGTGAGCCAGCTCTCAGTTTTTTAGCCTCCAGCTCACATATTTTTGTCTTAGCTCAGGAAGGATGGCTCCAGAGCAAACATATTTATGCAGTAGCCAAATTGCTCACTCACAACTTTAATGCCAGTAGCTCACAAAGTAGAATTTTTGCTCACAGGACTCCACAGCTTAGAGGGAACATTGGTTCCGTTTATATCCAGCCTTTTGTCTACAACTCGAGTCGGCCTGGGGGTGGGTGGGGTGCGTGGCTCCAGGAAGGCCTCCCCTCCACATCCTGAGCGGGCCCAGCCCTGCTTGGCTGCAGCAGCACTGCTGGGTTACAAGCAGTGTTCCGTCTAAGCTGAGCTAGTGTGAGCCAGCTCACAGTTTTTTAGCCTCCGGCTCACGCATATTTGTCTTAGCTCAAGAAGGATGGCTCCAGAGCAAACTAATTTAGGCAGTAGTCAAATCGCTTGTTCACAACTTTAATGCCATCAGCTCACAAAGTAGAATTTTGGCTCACAAGACTCCACAGTTAAGAGGGAGCAGTGGTCACATGCCCTGCAATTCCATGCCTCGTCTGGCTCAGTGCCTCCTCCTGGATTGGGTACTTTCACCAGGGCGGGGGCTGATGTTCTTCAAAGACACCTGGCCAGACAGCGCAGCAAACAGCCAGTGTTCCTAACACCTCACTTGCTGGTATCCTGATTTCTATACCAGCAAGGAAGGCGGGGAGGGGATCTGAATCCCAGGATGTGTTTACACGAGAGACACCCACCTTGCTGAAGCCATATGCGGGTTTGCATCCAGTCAGAACCTGGACCACGTGGGTGTCTTGAAAAGCAAAAGGCCTAATAGCAGAGCAAATGTTAATCAGGTATGTGTTTCCACAAAGCTTTAGAAGCATCAAAAAAAAAATAGCAAAACCCTGTAAAATGATATTTTTTTTTTTAAAAAAGGGATTCATTCTGACCTGGCTTACAGCGATATTAAGGACCATGAACAACCACAACCTGAAAAATTATTTTTGATGGTCCTACTTTATTTCAATAATGAAGGGGGATTTGATGCGGTTAATGAACTGGCCCTGCTTCTTTGTATACTTCAAAGCTAGGTTAGAAATGCTCTATTTTGAATCATCTTACTTTATGGTGTGTATTTTAACAATTTGTACCACGGGTATGTGTTTCCACAAAGCTTTAGGAGCATCAAAAAAAAAAAGCAAAACCCTGTAAAATGATTTTTTTTTAAAAAAAAAAAAGGGATTCATTCTGACCTGGCTTACAGCGATATTAAGGACCATGACCAACCACAACCTGAAAAATTATTTTTGATGGTCCTACTTTATTTCAATAATGAAGGGGGATTGATGCGGTTAATGAACTGGCCCTGCTTCTTTGTATACTTCAAAGCTAGGTTAGAAATGCTCTATTTTGAATCATCTTACTTTATGGTGTGTATTTTAACAATTTGTACCACTGAGGAAGGCCTGGTGGCCAAAGCACGTTTGACTTTAATGGATTTTTATTTATTTTTTTGCTATTTGTTATGCTTTAAAGCTTTTTTAAATTTTAACATCTGTAACCCATTGTTTAATAGGCCTCTTGGTGGTTTGGTTTTTCTTGGTCGAAAGTTTTTCTCCCCTTTTCTGTTTTGGATCTCATGGAAAGCCCCTGTGATGAGTAGACACCTGCCCCAATCCCTCTAGGTGTAATCTTAGGAAGTAGGGTTGCCAAGTGAATTTTACTCACCGGTGGGGGAGCCTCACCGCGCTCCGGGAGCCTTCCCTCGTCGTGCGCGCGCCGCCAGCACGTCACTGGAAGTGACGCGCGATGTCGATCACGTTGAGGGCGTGGCCCTGATCGTCGGAGGGATAACCATAGAGTTTTTCCTCCGACGATCGGGGCCACGTCCCCAACGTGATCGATGTGGTTGCGTCACCTCCGGTGATGCAGCCACACTGCGCTTTGGGGGGCGGAGCTCCCCCCGGGGCCCGATTCCGCGGTGGCGGAAATCGGGCCTCCAAAGCGGGGGTTTACCCGCCCCCCACTTGGCAGCCCTATTAGGAAGGTTAGAGGAAGCCGTTCCATTGCGAACACTGCACATGTCCCACTTCGGTCTGGGCGGCAGGCTTCTTAGGTACACCGTAGAGGGGTCTTAAGGTGGGTTTCTATTAACGATTCAGATCCGATGGTCCAGAAGTCCCTTTTTGATCGAAGGGATGTGCTTGTAGGGCAACCTTTCCTTTTGGGTTGAGGCACTTGGCTTCCCTTCTCCCTCGGCCGCCCTGGAGGATGGAGCCTAAGGAGCTCAGCCCCGACCTGGGTAGCCCAGGCAAGCCCGGTCTCATCGGATCTCGGAAGCTCAGCAGGGCCGACCCTGGCAAGTGTTTGGATGGGAGACCTCCAGAGAATACCAGGGCCAGGAGGCCAGAGGCAGACAAACAAGCCACTTCTCCGGATGTCCTCCCTGCCCCAGTAGGGAGTTGCCAGCCGTCGCCGTGACTTCCAGGCATGGGCACCCCCCCCCCAAGAAAGAAACGTAAGCAGCTCTGTTGGTTTAAGTAGCAGGCTTGTTCATTGAGATTTCTCCCATGAATATCGATCCATATCCCCATTTGTTCCTCCCCAAATATCCATGAAATGGTGTGAGGCCTGCAAGGCGTTCCTGGCCGACCGATCCCTCTCGAGATCTAATTTCTCTGCAGAATTAGCGTGGTTTGTGTGCAAGAAGGCTCCGGCGGCTCACTCCTGTCCTCCTCCTCTGCCCGCAGGTTGTGTGTTACATTTACTTCACACGGATCATTGCCATCTTCATCAGGTTCGCAGTTCCGTTCCAGTGGAAATGGCTTTATCAGGTATCGGTATTGGCATGGGCTGTGCTCCTCTATGGGGGGGGGGAAGGGAGAGACACAGAACAACCCAAATTAAAAAACAACAACAACAGATCTTATCAGGCTGCCGGCTTCATGTTCTGGCTGTAGGTCTCCTGGAAACTCACCATCCTTAGCGCAGACATTCCAACCGTGGTGTTTCTTTGCTGCGGACAGCTGGGCATTCTCCCTCCCCTTCTCAGGGCTGCAGGGTTCCGTATATCCACACAGATCGAAAAGTAATTGCCTCATTGATTTTTAGAACACACGCACGCAAGCAGTCCTTCAGGCATTAATCAAACACGACTGGAGGGGCCAGGGAACGGCTGGGGAACCGCAGCCCCGGAGAGCTGGTGAAACTCAGCATTCCTGTTTCACTTGGTCCGTTTGCATAACTCCTTGCCACGGAGCCGGGGATTCCCGCCTCCTTTGAGCCTGCCGCAGGGACCTGTGGAATTCCGACACAGGGAGGGGGGCGAAGCCATAAGATGGCTGCCGCGGGAGGCGGAGGCACACAAGCAAAGGAAGCCTAAAAGGGACAATTTTTAAAAATACTCTGTGAAAAAGGAGAGAAAGAGGATGAAACCAACACTATGGTGGCAGCTGCTGCTGCTAAAACAACGTCATTCTAATATATCGTCGAAGGCGTTCACGGCCAGAGTTTGTTAGTTGTAGATTTTCCGGGCTGTAGGGCCGTGGTCTTGGCATGTGGAACCGGATGTTTGGCCAGCAGCTGTGACAAAAGGGGGAGGGGGAACTGAACCTAGAAACCTGGGATCCAAAACCTGAAAAGGTTAGTCAAATAGAAAAGAGGGCCAACAATAAAAGCCTAATATATACAGTATATAAAAAGATACATGTATTTATTAACAAGGAATTTAAAAATCCCTAAGGACAATTCTACTGAGGACAGTTTGGCTAAACAATCATAGGAAGGCACTTTCTGGACCAGAAATTATTACTCGTGAAACACCACTTGGCATGTGATTGCATCTTTGGAGGCCTCATTTGTACTTTTTTTCTGTGCCTAGTGGTTTCATTTCGGAACAGTTTTCTTCTGGTCCTTCATGTATTTATATTTTATATCTGCATGATTGTACTGTACTGTTATATAAGCCAATATGTTCCTCACTCTGTTTGACCTCTGAAGAAGGCCTATGCAGGCCGAAATGCGTCAGGTCAAGTCCATTAGCCCTTGTGTGTTAGATTCCGGTATTTTTACATGAGGTGAGATTGGGCCCTTATATATTTTTAAATTCCTTTTTAATAAATGCATGTATCTTTTTATATGCTATAGATACATTAAGCTTTTATTGTTGGCCCTCTTTTCAGGATCTGGCCAGCAGCTGTGGCTGGGGGGGCCCGGGGGACGCCCCCGGGGGGGGGGGGGGGGGGGGGGGGGGGGGGGGGGTCTCTCTCCTCTGAGGAGGCCAGTCGCAGCGGCTGGTGATACAGCAGGTCCTGCAATGCCAAGACCACGGCCCGACAGCCCGGGAAATCCACAGCAGCGAAGGCCATTTTACTTTGCCAAGCCAGGAGGATCTCCAGTGGCCCATCAGGAGCCCCTACCTGGCCCCACCCGCCTGCTCAAAACACTCGGTGGGTTCCGGGGCGGCGGGGGTTTAAAAGTCCCGTTTGACCAGGGAAATTTATTATTTTCAGAAAAAGAAAGAAAAGACAACTGCAAGAAACATGTGACAACAAGAAGTACAAAAATAACATACAATAACAAACCCAACGTAAACTACAATACTGGAGCTCATCCTAGGTCTCAGTTTAACAAATATATTGCCAAATATAAAATAAAAATGTATTATTAAAAAAAACATTTTAAAAAGAGAGAGAGAGAGAAAATAGTTCCTGTAATCTTGACTCTTATTAACTGGTCAGCTTTCAGAAATCTTGTATATATGGGAGAAATAAACTAAAGGAAATGAAATAAATATTCAGGAACCACACCCACCCCCCCAAAAAAAATACAGTTGAATCTTGATTTGTTTTATGCACCTGTACTGGTTTCACCATCAACAAGTTTCATAATCAGCGCCTTTATACATTTCCTTCAGTCCACCTATAAAATCTCGCCAGTGTTTCTTCACACGATTCGTTATTTCTTCCTTGTAATTGTAAAGTTAATTTGTCCATTTCTGCAGCTTTGAACAGTTTTTTTTAAAATATTTCTTTTTTCCGTTGGTATTTCTTCTCCCAGTATTTTGCATAAAGTATCCCAGCTGCTGTCACAGCCTGTACAGTCAGATATATCAAATTCTGTGGAACGCCGTGTTGATGGGAGAATCCAGCCTTAGAAGGGGAGGCGGGCTCTTTTCCTGCTCCTCCAGATTACGCGAGTTTTGCCAGGGACCCCCTACTCATTCTTACAGTTCCGCTCTTGTTGTGGTGATCCCCGGGGCAGTGGAAGCCGCTGTCCCCGTCGACTGGCAGCTTTAATCAGCCAGTCCTCTAGCTTCTGTACCTTTTTTTTCTATTGCTGTGGTGAGAGCCGGGGTCCCAGGCCCAGCACTGCGTTCTGTGACTTCCTTGACAGGTTTGCAGCATCAGTGCAGTCCTCGGGGCTGCACCCCGAAGGAGAACGTTTGTGGCTCAGCAGATAGGGAGTCCTTGTCCTGCATGCTCAGAGTCCGATAGCCAGTCTTCCTTGGAGGAGAGAAACGGTCTGACTTCCTCTGGTCCCGATGGCTTCTCGGCAGCCCCACCAGGGCAGGAGGGAATGGCCTTCAGAGCCACTTTTAATTTTCAGTCTCCTCTGTGTCTCTGTGTGTGTTTTTGTCCCAGGTCCTGGATGAAATGGCCACCCTGGTGTTCTTCATCCTAACCGGATACAAGTTCCGGCCGGCCTCAGACAATCCTTACCTGCAGCTCTCTCAGGACGACGAGGACGACTTGGACATGGAGGCTGTGTAAGGGACCTTTGCTGTCTCGTGTTCAGGGCCTCATCCTGCCCAGGCGGAAGGGCTTGCGTGAGGCCGCGAGGGGGCGGCAGTATGGGACTTCAGCAGTGGAAGAACGGAGTGTGTGGATGGCCCGGGCCTGGCCACGTAGCCCACTCTATAGTCTGTTGGGCTGAGCCAGTGAGAGCACTCCGGCCTTCCTGCCGCTCCCTTCTGTGCCTCAGAGCTCCGGGTTGGTGCCTTGGCAGGGTCTGGCTGGCCCCAGGATCTCTGGGTTCAGAACCGCTGGGCCCACGAAGAGTCCTGAGCACCCCCATTGAAAAATCCCGGCTGCCGAGGCCTCTCTTCCCACTGTTCTCGGAGTGAGCCAAGTCTCCTGTGAGCAGAGGGAGGCTTTTTGGTGCCTGAGATGGAGCAGCTAAAGGGCGCCATCCTCTTCCTCCTCCGCTGATTGGCGCAAGGTGCGACCTGTTGGGAAGTTCGCCAGTGCACGGCTCCACTGAGGTGATGGGGGGGGGCTGGGAGAGGCAGCAAGAAGCCTCCCGGTGCCTCCCCTGCCTTCGTGCTCAGGTCCCGGGAGGGAGGGAGGGAGGGAGAACCCCTCACCCTCGGAACACTGGCCTGGACTCCTGATGATTCCCACAAGCTGGTTCAGGGAGTCTCTTTGGGCAGGCGGGTGCCTTTTTTCCGAGAGGTCAGCAGTCTGAGAGAAGTCCGCTCTTGCTCAGTTCCTGTTTTAGTGGGGTTTGTGCAGGCGGGAGAAGCTAGGCTCTGTTTTGGGTCTCTTCTGCACCCACTGCTCTGAAAGGAGTGTCTGAGAGAAGAGATTGGATTGGATTTATACCCTGCCCTCCACTACCCGAAGGAGTCTCAGAGCGGCTTACAATCCCTTTCCCTTCCCCTCCCCACAACAGACACCCTGGGTGGTGGGTGGAGCTGAGAGAGTTCTCTTGAGGACTGCCCTTGAGAGAACAGCTCCGAGAGAACTTGTGACTGACCCAAGGTCACACCAGCAGCTGTGAGTGGAGGAATGGGGAATCAAACCCAGTTCTCCCCTGGTGCCCTGGTCTGGCCCTCCCCTGCTGCCCTGAAGCTGTGAGACTCTCTCCCAGGGGTGCAACTGGCACCATCTTTGCAGGTCGTTTGGCATAGCTTGAAAATGCGTTCCCCCCCCTTCTGGGAAGGCCTTTGCCTGAAGTGGTCTGTTCCCTTGAGGTTTTAATGTTGCTCGTGGTTCTTAATTACTGTGTTTTGTATTGATCCACAGCCACCTTGGGGTGTTCCTTTGAATGAAAAGGCAGGCTGTCGTCAGTTGGGAGTAGGAGGCTTTCCGGCCATCTCATTTTATGCTCCAGATTTTCCCTTTTACCCCTAGTGCTGGTGGAAAGCCCCAGTCAGCTGCAGCCAACATGGTGACCCCCCCCCCCCAAGTAGGGTTTCCAAGGCAAGAGCCATCCCGAGGTGTTCTTGCTATTCCCTGCCTCTCCGTAGGGACCCTGGACATCCGGGGGGGGGGGGTGTCTCCCATCCAAGGGCTGACCAGGGCCGGCCCTGCTTGGCTCTCAAGGTCGGATGAGATCAGACTCACGTCAACGCAGGACGTTATGACGTCCCTAGTGGGGATGTGACATTACATCATTCTGTACACCGGCTGGCTCTGGTGTCTCCTGATTGGACGCTTCTCTCCCCCTGCCACCCCACAAGGGTAATGTGAAACACTGTTCTCCGTCACCCGGGTCTAAAGGCCCCCTCGCTAGTTTTAAATCCACGGAGGAGGATGGGGGGGGGGGAGTCCTTCCAGACCTCTCAGCAGCCACACAGCAGGCTTGCAAGCACTTTAAATCTGAACTCCTGGAGCTGCTGGCTTCGTAGAATTTCTCCCAAGAATGCTGAAGCGGCTGCCGGTAATAGACACCGTAGTTGAGAGCGCAGGGTGCGTGTTCGTGGGGGGGGGGGGGGGAGAGGCCGCGGTCCATCTCTTCTGACTCTGGCATTACAGTAAAGATGGATGCCACGTTCTACTAGCCTGCCATGAATCCTGCAGCCGTATCCCCCCTCCCAAAAAAACCCCCCACCTTTGCAGTGAGGAAAGCCCCCTTCCCTGGATGAAAATGGCTCTGAGGGGCTTTGTTTTCGGACAGATGAGTGGATTAAGCCACATGAGCACATGAAGCTGCCTGATACGGAATCAGGCCGTGGGTCCCTCCAAGTCAGTCTCGTCTACCCAGACTGGCAGCAGCTCTCCGGGGTCTCCGGTTAAGGTCTTTCACATCACCAACTTACTTGATCCTTCTCACTGGAGATCCTTTTAACTTGGAGGTGTTGGGGATTGAACCTGGGACCTTCTGCGTGCCAAGCAGATGCTCTGCCACTGAGTGACAGTGCAGGTCTTGCTTGGGATCAGGGGCTGCTGATGGCGGAGACTGTGAATGACAGACGAACCTGTGGACCAACTGGGTGGTCAAGCGGGTAGGGAGGGGCAGGCACGTGGGAGCCCGGAGGAACCTTCCTGGTCCCCCATGCGCCCGCCTCCCGCGGAGCTGGTGACGGCAGTTGGGATGGCTGCCTGCCCAGAGGTGGCCGCTGAACGATGTCTGAATGCCGCTGATCCTCATCAGCCCCCCTCCCTCCCACACCCCCTGAGGGCTCAGAGGTGCTGTCGTGGGGCCGCTTGCTCTGCTGCCACGGGGAGGACTGCCACCGTGGGCTTTGTCTGGCCCTCTGAAGAGCTGGGCCTTGGTGACATGCCAAGCTGGAGGACTGGCTCTACCCTAGTTCACCATCAGCCCCGAGAGGCTACCAGCCTGAACAGCCAGCTTTTAAGCGGAGTAAGAGACCCTCCCTGGGAAAGCTTTCTGTTTCTGCTGCTTTTGGTCCGGATTAATAATGGAACAGCGGTAAGAAATGTCTGCAGCTGCATCCCTCATTCTTCCCCCCCCCCGCCCGGTCGGCAGGGCTCACGCACACCCCTCCGGCAGATGCCTGCCTTTCCTGTGTGATGGATCCTGCCATTAAACAATTCAGCCTGGGGTAGGGGAGAGGGCGGGGGGGGGAGTTGTGGATGTCATTTGAATCAGCGTCCTCGCCTTTGGTTGTGGATGCTCACGCTGATCCTGGTTTCCTTTCTGTGAAAACAGGTCTAGCGCAGCCAGAGGGGGCAGGCATTTGCTGAAAGGTGGCAGTGCCTTTGTCGTTGGGGGGGGGGCTCTTCCCCCAATCGTTCTTGCCTTCTCCTCTGGCCAGGTTCCGCTTTGTTTCTGTCACGCAGCATCGCTTCAGTCACACAGAGGGACTCAAGCATGACAGATAGAAGGCTGGCGACTGGCGCGGCCTCTTCCCTTCTCCGGGGCCTTGCCGCACTGCTGGCGCCCGATTTGCTGCCAGTGCTTCCTGTCTCCGTGCAGACTGAGCAGGCATTGGAGAGGAGGGGACGAAGCTAGAGCGGCCTCTCTGAGTGCCTCCTGGGGGCTTTGTGCCCGCTTAGTTCGTAGGAGGGGATGTACCGCCAGGAGATGCCGTGGCGGTGGGCTCGGTGAGAGAGCCACATGGCCAAGTCTCAGGCGGAGAAAGCAGGAGGGAGAGGAGAGGAGCACTCGAACACGCGACCAGCATCTCTAGTGGAATGATGCCGCTGCCCTGCCTTTCAGGGTTGTAAAAATTGAGACAAAGACCAGCCTGTGAAAGATAGTGGTTAGAATGTGGGGTTAAGAACTGAAGAGAAGCCTTGCTGGATCAGGCCATCTAGTCCAACACTGTATCACACAGAGTGACATCAGGAGGTCCACCAGCGGGGCCAGATAAGTCTACCAGTAGCTTATAGCCGTAATGACTGAGGGGAACCTCCACATTCAGAGACACTAATCCTCTGAATCCCAGCGCCAGGAGGGGAAGGCCTCAGCCTCTATGCCTTGTTGTTGACCGCCCAGAGGAACCGGTTGGCCCCTGTGTGAGACAGGATGCTGGACTACATGGATCACTGGTCTGATCCAGCAGGGCTCTTCTAGAACTCCAAGAAGCCCTCCCACAGTTGCCCCCCCCCCATGCACCAGGAATGCAGAGCATCACTGCCCCAGACAGAGTGTTCCCTCTACCTTGTGGCCAATAGCCACTCATGGACCTCTGCTCCATAGGTTTATCCAGTCCCCTCTTGAAGTTATGCTTGTATCCGCCATCACCACATCCTGCGGCAGTGAATTCCGCATGTTCATTACTCTTTGGGTGAAGAAGCGCTTCCTTTTATCTGTTCTAACCCGACTGCTCATTAATTTCATGGAGTGCCCACAAGTTCTTGTATTGTGAGAAAGGGAGAAAAGGTCTTCTTTCTCTGCCTTCTCTATCCCATGCATAATTTTGTAAACCTTTATCATGCCCACCCCTCAATCATCATTTCTCCCAGCTAAAGGACCCTAACCTCTTTAACCTTTCTTCAGAGGGAAGGTCTTCCATCCCCTTGATCCTTTGAGTCCCCTTTTCTGCACTTTTCCCAGTGCTATAATATCTTCTTTGAGGGGCAGTGACCAGGCTTAGGTAGACCTGGGTTCAAGTTCTTGATCAGGCCTTGAATCCCAGAGGGTGACCTCGAACCCTCTGTTCTTCCTCAGCCTAGCAAGCCTGCCTCATGGGTTGAAGCGGGGAGTAAAATGGAATTGCAGTAACCTCAGCCCCTCGGAGGGCCGGAGGGTTATACACCCAAGGAATAAAACTGACGGGAATATGTACACGAGGGCATTTGAGGAGCCAGAGGCACTAGCCCATCGGTGCTGACTCCCTTTTTTTGGTCCAATTCAAGCAAAGAAGACCGCAGACTCCCTCCTTTTCGGGGTCTTGTTTTTGGAGACGGCAGCATAAATGCTACTTAGGAGTAAAATGATATGGGCAGGGCCTCTTTTTTATCTTCCCTTTTCACCTACTTTATTTTGCTTGACAGCAAACTGCCGCCCCATCTTTTGCTGAGGAGAGTCATAAAAGCATGTTTTAGGTCTTCCTCTTAGTATACCCAGAGGCTCCGTTCAG